CTCCGGCAGCAATCCGTTGATGACGAGTCCACCGAGATCTTTCGCCGTGGTGGTCGGCGGGAGCCAATCACCCTAGACGCAGCCCGTCGGAGGCGCGACCTTGGAGCTCGACGTCTTCTTCCCCTTCTCTAGTTTCGCCGTCTTGTCCTTCGCCATCGCCGCGTAGCACTCCGGTGCCGAGCGGGCTCGCACAGAGTGGAGAAGAGGAGACGGGAGGACTGGGGGCGAGAGGAGAAAGGGGATCTCGTGCCCTCCCACCTGACGTGGGGGCCCTCTTATAGCATCGGTTCCTCTGCCCGCTGATCCTCATCGTTGGCTTCTGGGCCCGTGGATCTCCTCGAATCTCGCTGGTGGAGATCCTGCGATACGTGGCGAAAAGCGGGGCGATAATCGAGGCATCACGCCCCACTTCCCCCACTCACCGCGTCGCAACTGTTAGCGCGCGCACACATTCCCAGTTTTGAATCCCGCGAAATCCGGGATCCGACAATCCAATTGCTTGTCATTTAAAGCCCTTCCAAAAACGCTCGGGCCTGGCCAGCCGCCCGACGCACGAAGGCTCATTTCACTCGGGCGGTGATACCCCTCAATCGGCTCGGCTCAGAGCGGAGCCCTCACTCGGACGCCACGTGATCCAGAATCCGTCGAGGCGTCGTGCAAGGTCGAGACCGTCGAATGACCAGCAAGAGTCCTTGAGCGCTTCCATAGCACTCGGCTCACCTGGGAATTCACTCCGACTTAACCCTCCTAACCCCGATAGATTCGGGGGCTAATGATGGGGTCATGTACTAAGGGTAGGGTAACGGTCCAGACCTACAGACCCTACCCTAGGACACCATACACCTTATATTGGGCCCCAGGGCCAGGATAGCATTCAGATGCACGTCAGTCAGAACGTTCACTCGGACGGAAGCATTCCACTCGACCGAACCCGTCGGCACTCGGACAAAGAAGTCCAGGAGACTCCTCGGAATTACAACGGTCAGGACGTGTGTTCACCCTCATCAAGTGTAGTTAATGCACCTGTTACCAGTGACGACTGTCCTTAAACTCCCCCCTTAAACCCTTGGTAATGGCAGCATTCATGGGGCGAAGGCGCACTCTATATAAGCCTCCCCCCCAACTCCATAGCAAGGGTTCGCAATCTTTCTAATCTATACACTCTAATCAATCAGCTCCTGAGCACCGAGGCGTAGGGCTATTACCTCCACCATGAGGGGCTTGAACTCGTAAATCTGTGTGTAACAACTGCGTCGTAGCTGGGCTCAGACGTAGGCGTATTACCCCCGTACACTACTGTTAGACTTACACCCACGACACCTACTAGAGGAGATAGATCGACCAAAGCTCTCAGTGTTTTTTGGAATAACTAAGCTCTCTCAAGTTCTTAGTTTATACTTTGCTAACCCTAGATCTGGCCTAAGGTACGGTTTATTTAGTCTACAGACGAAGGGGTAGGTGGGGAGGAGAGATACATTGTCATTCAGCCAGATTCCTGCTTGTAGGCAGTTGGCTGGACAGTCCAATTGAAATTAGCCCGGATAGTCCGGGCCTTAATGTGTGCCTTTCTCCTAGATGGCGCGGGCGTCAGCGAACTGGGCAAACTCGGTGGCTGAACAGTCCGGGACTGAAGTGGCCAGACAGTCCGACGTCAAGCCCTGACAGTTCGGCCTCTGTCAGGCTTTGAGTTTTTGCTCTCGGATATCCAGGGCGCGAGAGCTTGACAGTTGGCCGGTCTCTCTTGCGATTCTCTAACTGTGACTGGACTTTCCAGGATGATTCTTCCGGATTGTTCGATTGCCTGTATGTGGCAACTCTTCCTCCCCTTCTTCTCCCTTCTCCACGGCTCAAACTTCTTCCCTTGCTTCTTCATGGGTGGTTCCTTGGTACTTGAGCATGCACCAGATCTTGGATTGAGGTAGTAGCAATGTCTCAGATGAATGCATGGGGAGCTCAGAGAGTAATGAAGTCACCTTGGTTTCAATGGCTCATGGGCGAGCTCATGTCATCGGTCCACTTGGAGTTTGTGGGGTTGATGATGGGTTCATGGTGATGTCCATGGGATGCTCGGCATCATCTCCCCCTTGGGGAAGATCTGTCCTTGGATCAAGATCCTAATCACCATGAAAAGGCGCAAGGTCGGTGAAGTTGAAGGTGTCGCTCACCGAGTGTAAATCTTGTATGCGTTAACGCTACCGTCGGCTCATGGAAGTAACTTGAACTTGCACTTTTTCGAGAAGTGATCTTTGTGAAGGTTCACCCACACGAGGTCATCGGTAATGAACACCGTAGGCTTCTTGGTGAAGTTGACCTTGTCGGCATGGCGTTGAACTTTTCGCTCAATGGTGAGTCTTGTGTCATTGTGCATTATCTTCATGAACTCGGCGCGGGCACTTGCATTCATATTGGTGAGCTCTTGGCGAGGTACCGATAAGATGTCCAAGGGTGAAAGTGGGTTGAACCCATAGACAACCTCGAACGGAGACTTGAATGTTGTTGAGTGTCTTGCAGGTTGTAGGCAAACTCGGCAATCGGTAGGCAATCTTCTCACTCTCTAATATTCCTTTTGATGAGCACTCGGATGAGGGTGGAGAGTGTGTGGTCGACCACTTCTAGAATTGGTATAGTTTTTACAGGAGTGAAAAATGTGTCAAACAACCACAAAGACCTAATGCTTATGTATCGCTAACATGCTGCAAGGTCACGAATCCTTCTTCGGCTGGTGGCAGGCATCCACGTTATCTGCTCCAGCTTCCCTTCGCAAAGGCACTGCCTCCCTTGGGATCATCGTGGCCCGGACCCTCTGGAAGCATAGGAATGCTTGCACCTTTGACGACACCCGCCCATCAGTTACTGAAGCTTCCCGAGCTGCCCTGGCCGAAGCCGCAATGTGGGCCACGGCTGGTGCAAAGGGACTACGTGTTTTCATCTTTGAACCACCTTGAACGAACCTTGTAACCGCCTTGTAACCGTAACTTCGCGCAAGTCTAGCCACGAGTGTGTGGCTCGACCAAGCGCCTGTAAACTCTTCTCCTTATCAATGAAATGATACGCACTATGCGTATTCGATAAAAATTTCAGTGACATATAACATCCTCACTTTCCACCACAAATGGATGAAGTGGTGTCTTTGGTTCATCCTCTAGAGGTGCATCCCCAGGCGCAAAGTCGTCGAGTTTGATGAGGAACAAGCGTGTACACCGGTGACCCAGGACGTACTGCACGTCGCAGTTGTAGCAGAGGCCTTGGCGGCGTTGTTCTGCCATCTCGGTGGGTGTGAGGCAACGTGTAGCGCAAGGAGCTAGTGTAGGGGCAGCAGCTGCAGCAGGAACGGCCTGTGGTGCAGGAAGAGCAGCAGGCAGCGAGGTCGGCCTCCACACGGCATTGGTGCTGGGAATGGATGGCATTGTTCATATGCCTTAGAGAGGGAGACTGCCGTGTGGAGGTCCATCGGCTGCTGAAGCTTGACATTGACTTTGAGGCTCTCGGGGAGCCCGGGTGTGTACAAGAAACGTTGCTGCACTGAGCTTAAGGGCTAGCTGGTCCTGTGCAGCAGCGCTATAAATCTGCTGGCGTAGTCGGCAATGGTGGAGGTGCGGAAGCCGAGCCAACTCGCCCAGGGGTTGGTGTGTACAGACTGCCACTGCCCAAACTGAAGGTGTCACGCCTCTTTGAAGTGCTGCCAGGAGGGAATTCCGTGATCGCGCTCAAACTGGAGATACCAGGACTGAGCATTGTCGACAAGGTGGTATGCCGCTGTCCACACCTTGTCAGCCTCCTCCGTGCGCTGACCCCGGAAGAATTGCTCACACCTATGAAGCCAGCCGAGTGGATCGACGGAACCACGGTAAGTTGGAAAGTCGAGCTTGTGGAAGCTTGGGACAACGAGCCGGAGCCAGCACCTTGGTGCTGGTATGGGAGGGGGGCAATTGACGTGGTATTGTGAGATTGCATTTGTAGGCTGGGTATGTAGTGTTTGAGGAAGTGGGTGATTAGGGTTGGTGGGTGGCTGTTGGTAGGGCAGCGGTGGAAGAGATGCGTGGTGGAAAGCTGGGTTGAACGGAGGGTAAACAAGGGGTTGGTGATGGGGTGGTGGAGGGCCAGTTTGCTGTGGAAAGAACTGGGAGGCTGGAAAGCGCGGTAGTGACGATGGTGGGGGAAGGCGTGGATTAGATCCTGTTTTCACGAGGGTGGGGGTGGTGGTGGCATGGGCCGGAGCGGAGGAGGCGGAGGAGTCGCTAGCTGCCAGGTGAAACACCGCGTGTGGGTCAGTGAAGCTGAGCGCCAATGCTCGAGGGTCGACCAGGGCAGAAGGTGGTGGAGTGCTGGTCGTTGCTCCAGGGCGTCAAGGTGCTGGACGAGGCCCTCCATGAAGGCCTGATCAGTGGTCCGTTGCGCCACCACCTCCTTCATCTGGGTCGTTAGCTCCTTGAGCATGAGGTTGGTGTTGCCACCTTCGACTTTGTCATCGTCCGCTGTCGTAGTTGACTCTGATACCAGATGGAACAAACTCTAATTACTCAGCCTAATAGATAGTAATAGTCTGAATTCTGATGATTTATTAATCTCGGGAGAAGCACTAACATATAGGAGGAATAGCTTGGCTGACAAGCTGACTCGAAGGAAATACAATCTGGTCTCTGAAACAGGTTCTTCTGGAGTCTGTACCTAATACGAATCTGATCGTAATAACTTGTAGCAGTACAAGAATCCTAGTCACTTTCGGCTGGACCAGGGGGTGGTGCGGCCAGGGCTGGGGCCCACCGACCATATGGTTCCGCACATAACAATGATGCTAACTGAATATTATATGGTTACCAAAATGGTTTCTCAACTGCCTTCTATTTTGCTAATTGCCTTTAGTATCATATATTTAAGATCCATCTTTAGCATGTTATGAATTTACTGATTTGTGTTTCACTTCATATTTTTTTCTGCTCATAGATACATGTTGAAGAGTCTACAATACCTTAGTACATTGTAGTTTTCATTTTGCATCAATGATTAATTCTCTGAAATTTTTCTGTACTTGGATTTTGCCAGTGCAATTTGGCACTAGGAATTTGCTAATGATCAAGATGGTGATGTTGCATACTTTTTCTATCCAGGGCCGTGTGTGGGTAGTCCCGTCAGAATACAGTGATGCAGAACCAGATCCGCTTCGAAACTTTGCTGAAAGCGTTGTTGAGGAAATGAACAGTGAACATGCTGAAGATGTTCATAGGATATACAATATTTATGCCGAATCAGATTTTCAGGTAGTATTCAACTTATTCTGTTAATCCTTGGTTTGTTTCTCAATTCTTGGGAAAAAGAAAGCCTAATGGAAACACATATTTTGTTTCCTTGGAAGTTAACATAGAGCTGTAGAGTTATTTATATTCAGCTTCTTGCACTTCAAAGCAAAAAGGCACAACTAACTTGTGCATCAGACATATGAGTTAAGAAATTGAAGATGGATATAAATTGAGCATCTTTTTTTTTCTTTTTTAGAAGAAACAGAAATTTAGCCGTGCAGGAAATTTCTGATTTCATTTTTTTAGAAGACCTCATTTTATATTCCTATAAGATACCATATGCAACTACTAGGAAGCTTTTGAACTGTTGCTATAGTAGAATTAACTGTGTCCCATGTGTGGTAATAGGCATTGGATGTAAAGATGATTTGGGTAGACAGACTTGGTTTTGACTTGCACGTTCATTCCGAGGAAGGCATCTTCGCTGTTCGGATACCTTTCTCAAGGCAGGTCTCTGACCAGAAGGCGGTGAAATCGTCATTCAACATGATGGCTCATCATGCATGGGAGGTGGACAAGAGTTATGCCACCCCAGAGTTTGAGAAGGTACAATTCTTGAAGAAGGTCATATAGATGGTGTGATATCTGTATTCGATATGATACCTCCATTGTCAGTATTTTTCTGTCAGTTTTTTTTCGAATCGATTTCTTTTTTTCTTTTTTCTTTTAGCGCAAAGCGAACTATTCTTTCGCCTTTTTCTGTCATTTAGATGACCATGGTTGTGATATTCTATGCCTAACACATACGGAGTAGTTTTAAGTGTCTTTGTGTGTTTCCATCCATCTCTTTGCCTTATGTACCATTGATTAGCGCCATTCTGTAATAAGAGCAATGAATTTAGACGGTAATGTTTGATGTACATTGTAGTTGGTTCACCATAGTTTCACCCTCACCTGTATCTTTGAATTATGAGATGAGATCGGGCTAAATTATGTTCCATTATACTGTCTTTCCTGCTAGCGCTTGCTAGTGTGCCTTTGTGGCCTCTGTCAGTTGTAAGTTGTAACATGCAAAGTGATATGCATTTTCCATCCTGTCCTTGCAAATGTTATTTCAGAAAGCAGTCATCTAAATCCATTTCAATTTTTGTACCCCAGACATTTTACTTGATAAAGTTTTTTTAAACATATGTAGTTATACAGTGTTACTTTGTGTCTTATTTAATTGTGAGACTGCTGGGCAACATGGGTAAGATCGTTCTGTGTGAGCATTCCTGAGATTCGACTTTATATTTCGTTCAACACATGTCACAACCGATGCACGTGGAATTCGTGTGAGTATAAATCATGAACTAGAATGTGATGCACGCCTTGCCGCGCCGTTTTTCAGTTGCGAATTAAGTCTACAATGTTTGTTTTGTGTGCAATTTATTATGGTTGGTTGGCTTGTTCATGTGTAATTGTCAGTTAATTATCTTACAAAGCAGCGTCATCTTGTTTTAACATCTCCATGGGAATACAATGTGGAGAGAAATCCATAAACAATTGGTGAGTGTGAGTTACAGCAACTATACACAACCAATGTAAACTTCAACACCGATGCATTAAAATTCACATGACAAAGAAATCAGACCATCATCAAATATTCATACCCTCGAAGCAAAACTGAATTTTTTTTGCAATATGTGTCTATCTGGATTCAGCAAATTACAAATAATTTTAACAAAGAACTAACAGTATTTTGGATCTTCAAAATCAAAGAACTCAAGATTCATCGCTCGATATAAAACAAATTTTCTGAAGAAATAAACAAATTGAACCGTCATGCAGAACTAATAAAACTATAAACCCAGTCCAATATAGCTACAATATAAACTCTTAAACTGACACCAACCAAACAATCCAATATACACCAGCCAAACCAAACAGTCCCATAACCCTGGGTCGAACCCACTTTCTCAAGCCGAACCAAGCCATCGAGTCAAAGTAGAAATCTACATATAGGCAAGCATCTCCAAACCAAACAATTTCATACCCTTGGGCCGAACCCACTTTCTCAAACCAAACCAAGCCATCGGTTCGAAGTAGAAATCAACATATAAGCAAGCATCTGACTGGCCAACTCTGCACATGAATTAGTTTGCATTGTTTGTACTGGGAGTCAATTACCACCGCCTTGAGCCAAACACGATGGGGCACCATCTCTTTAAAATCGCATCTACTTTACGCACCAAGTTACCGGCAAGCATGTCGAGTCCCCCAGACTGGCACCCCCTATGCGACCTCACGTGGCACAAAGACCTAATACCAACATCATCAGCACGGAGCTAGTTGATTCAGACTCCATCATCCTCAATAGTCAAGCTCGTCGCCGCCCTCGGCTCCATCCTGCAGATGTGATTTCAATTTGGTTCACACTGCTTGACCAGGACGGCGCGGCAACAGGCACAACTCCACGATCCAGATACAGAGAGTTGCATAGCCAGTACCTAATGCTGGTTGGGGGCTTCCACAACATCCGCATGGGCAAGTGGCGAGGGCGCTCGTGCATTTGGAGAGGAAGCGAGAATTGAATGACCATGTTGAACCAGCGTCATAGCTCGGCTAGCACTCCATCGGCACGCCATGTGCCCCACCTTGGAATGAATCTTCCCTTGCCCACAGTAGCAGTTGCTGCCAACGGCCGTCACTCCTCTTGGCTGGCAAGCCCTTCGTGCCGCGTCTCACGGTCGTGTTGTATTAAGGCCTGAATGATACTCACGACTACAAAAATTATGACCTCTCAAGAAACAACAGAACAGAAACTTTATATGTCCACTGGCCTAGAGCAGGGAACAACCTCTATGAAGTTCCCGATGAATAGCTTAATCGATAAAAAGTTTAACCACAGTAAAGCAATTGATGCTACAATAATACTCTTTCGGAAAGAAAAGGTGATGTTCATTTTATTGATATTTAAAAGAATGTAGCATTGAAGTTGTTGGGGCCAGAAATCACATGCCTGAATCTCATACTTGGGCATTCCATAATAAGCATCTGAAGTTCTGAACCCATTCACTGTCAAGAAACAATAAATCGCCGAAGCACAGTAGGTAACTGAAAGTACATATTTAGGTAGATGAACAGTTTACATAATGTACTTTGTTGTGGCTAGAGGTCAGAAACCTAGTACCGATCTGATACATGCTGCATGGAAATAGCATGTATGCTCCTCTATCCTCCTGGGAATCCCTTGCCTGTAGGAAAACAACAAATTATTTAAAAGCACATAAGGTAGTCAAAAGCACCATCAGGTTAGCTGAAAGGAAATAATAGCTACCAATATCAAACAAAGATAGAAAATACTCTCTTCTAACTAAGCAGCATTTTGCTTACTGTATTCGCGTTATCACTTGCTTAGTGTTTCGAGGGTGTATGAACCCCAAAAAAGTACTATACTTATTATCAAAACATAGCTCTTATATCACAAGAGTGGTAAACTGAACAACCAGGGCAACAATCCTTTTCAACTAGTATTTTCATTAGCTAAACAAATACGATAGTATACATCATATCATTTGCTTTAATTTCTGAAGACTGGAGGGAAGTGTTTCCCCTGATTCCAAAAATCATTATACATCAGCATACGGAACAGATGTGATCTATTCATCTTTGAACAGTCTCACTCTTTCCAAGTAGCAAACACCCATTGGATATATGTGAGCTACTCGCCGGAACCACTCACGCTCCCATTGATTTGGTACGAAAAATCGAGCTAGTAATTTGAATTCGGTAGAGGAAGCCACCCAACTACCAACACCTCTATCCGTTACAAGTCATCGGCCTCAGCCGTCCAATTCCTAGCCAACCCCCTCTCGAGGGAGAGAGACGCCTATTTAACGTTACACCCGATCAACGGGCCCAGTTCGGGCCTGCAAGCCACTGGGGAAGGTTCTTGGGCCACGAAGACTTGGGCCGTAACGTGGGTTCAGCATCTGGCTTCTTGTTGCCGGCAACGTCTTGATCTGCTACAGCGCTCTCCTGCGTGTCTTCAGTGTCGACGCTTGCAGGGTTGCTGACATTCCCCCTCCGTTGAGAAACGGCTTGACCCCAAGGCGGAGCATGGGGGAATTGTTGCTTGAGTGATTCCAGGTCCTCCCATGTCGCAGCTTCAGGAGTAGAATCGCTTCACAGGATCAACCCTTGTGCGACGGTGCGCTTGCCCTTCTGTCGCACACGCCTCTCGAGCACACTGATAGGAATCTGCAAATGAGAGTTAACAGAGGGTAATGTGCTGGATATAGGACAGGTCGGTGCAACCACTTTCTTCAGCTGTGAGATATGAAAAACTGGGTGTATCCTGCTGCCCTCCGGAAGTTCTAGCTTGTAAGCCACTTCTCCAATTCTGCCCACTATCTTGTAAGGACCATAGTATTTGTAAGCTAACTTATGATTTGCTCGGTGCACCACTGAAGACTGGACATAAGGCTGCAACTTAAGGAAAACCAGCTCGCCCACATCAAAAGTTCTCTCAGTTTTGTGTTTATCTGCCAATTGCTTCATTCTCTGTTGAGCTCGTAGCAAGTGTTGTCTGACAGACTCAACTACAACCTGTCGATCTTGCAACCATTGTTGAATGTCCAAAGGAGGAATTGTGTCTGATGGAGAAATACCAAAATACCTGGGAGGTTGTCCATACAAAACTTCAAATGGTGATTTCCCCACAGCAGAATGCCAATTGGTATTGTACCAAAACTCACAGAGCGACAGCCATTTGCTCCATTTAGTAGGGTGAGAACTGATGAAACTCCGCAAATAGCACTCCACCTGCTGGTTAACTCGCTCAGTTTGTCCATCAGTAGCCGGATGATAAGCCGAGCTCATATTCAAATGAGTGTCAGTTCTGTTAATAAGAGTCTGCCAGAAGTTGCTGGTAAAAACAGGATCCCTGTCAGATACAATGAGTTCAGGCATACCATGTAACTTGCAAACATTATCCAAGAAAATCTCTGCAACTTTTTGAGCAGTAAATGGGTGTCACAGAGCCATGAAATGACCATATTTGGTGAATTTGTCAATAACCAACAGAATGCAATCAAACTGGCAGGAAATTGGCAACCCAGTGATGAAGTCCATAGTAACAGTTTCCCAGGCTCGTTTAGGAACAGGCAATGGAGAAAGAAGGCCTGGATAATGTACTCGTTCAGCCTTAGCTTGTTGACAAACCACATAGGATTGCACTTTGTTTTTGATGAAAGCTTTGATGCCAGCCCAACGAAACAGGGAGTGGATTCTGTTGTAAGTTACTGGAAACCCTGAATGTCCTCCGACAGGACTGTCATGAAATGCAGAAAAGATCTTATGCTGCAGCTCCAGGTTGTTACCAATCCAAATACAACCTTTATACCTCAAAAGACCATGCACAAGCTGATAGTTAGGTTTAGCAGCTGGGTCCACAGACAGTTGCTGCAAAATTTCAGTAATCTTATCATCATGAGCATAACTGTTAACAATTTCCTCCAGCCACACTGGTTGAGCTCTGGATATGTGGAAAACTTGAGGGTGTGGTTTCCTAGAAAGTGCATCAGCTGCAGTGTTGTCAACTCCCTTCTTGTAAACAATTTGATAGTTCATTCCCATTAGTTTTGTGAGAGCTTTCTGTTGCCAGATAGTGTGTAACTTCTAATTCTGCAAGTGTATCAGACTTCTTTGATCAGTTTTAATAGTAAACTGCTGCATTTGAAGATAAGACCTCCATTGTTCCACAGCTAATAGGATAGCCATATACTCCTTCTCATATACTGACAGTGCTCTGTTTTTA